TGGTATACAGAGGTGTATCCAGAGGTGGTATACAGAGGTGTATACAGAGGTGGTACATAGAGGTGGTATACAAAGGTGGTATATAGAGTTGGTATCCAGAGGTGGTATATAGAGGTGGTATACAGAGGTGGTATACAGAGGTGGTATACGGAGGTGGTATACGGAGGTGTTATACAGAGGTGGCATACGGAGGTGTTATACAGAGGTGGCATACGGAGGTGGTATACGGAGGTGGTATAATAGAGGTGGTATATAGAGGTGGTATATAGAGGTGGTATGTAGAGGTGGTATGTAGAGGTGGTATATGGAGGTGGTATATAGAGGTGGTATACAGAGGTGGTATACAGAGGTGGTATACAGAGGTGGTATACAGAGGTGGTATACGGAGGTGGTATACAGAGGTGGTATACAGAGGTGGTATACAGAGGTGTTATACAGAGGTGTTATACAGAGGTGGCATACAGAGGTGGTATATGGAGGCATTATACAGAGGTGCTATACAGAGGTGGTATATGGAGGTGGTATACAGAGGTGGTATATAGAGGTGATATACAAAGGTGATATATGGAGGTGGTATATAGAGGTGGTATATAGAGGTGGTATACGGAGGTGGTATACAGAGGTGGTATACAGAGGTGGTATACAGAGGTGGTATACAGAGGTGGTATACGGAGGTGGCATACAGAGGTGGCATACAGAGGTGGTATACAGAGGTGGTATACAGAGGTGGCATACAGAGGTGGTATATGGAGGCATTATACAGAGGTGCTATACAGAGGTGGTATATGGAGGTGGTATACAGAGGTGGTATATAGAGGTGGTATACAAAGGTGGTATCCAGAGGTGTGGACTTCAAACTACAGTCATTCATTTTATGACTTTACAGTAGACTTGAAAAAACATTCAAGGACCTGGACTTGACTTGGATATTTACTCCAGTGACATTGACTTAGACTTGAACCTGTTTATTTGGAAAAACTTGATATTTTACCCAGTATTTACTTTGAGACATTTATTATTTTAAACTGTACACTTTTAAATCATTTCACTGACCCGTATTAACAAACAGAGACACTAGTATGTATGTAAGAGCTTCAGTATAGCCAATCAAACTAACAGATTTAATAAGAGAACAAAAGTCAGCCTAACCCACACTCTCTTTAAACAGCGCTGCAGCTAACGGTATTTAAGCTACCAACATACCATAGAAATTAGCTGACAAACATGCAGTGCAAAATGAAAAGCATGAAAAAAGACAGTTGGATTTGAACTACCTCGATTTTGTTCGACATACAAAGTTGCAAAAAAACTGTTAGGTGGTACTTTTTTGCTACGATGACATAGCTAACTTTGGCTAATTTAATCTTTAGAGCACACACTCTCCAGGCTAACAGCAACACAACTCTATCACTGGCTTCATTTGCAACATTGATGTTTTACCTCCACAAATAACTCAAGCCTGAAGGAGTTCTGCAATGTTGTGGAGTTGCTAATGCTAACAGTTAGCTTCTACTAACCAAGACACACTGTGCTCTCTTCTGGATGCAAAATCAACAAGCGCGATGTAGATCTATGTAGCTTTTTCTAATCCAAGTGTTTGCTTGTCTATTTTCTATCGATGGCTAATGCAAGGAATGGGGACAGAAGACTATTTTCATGTTCAGTCTGCATGCTAAACTCAGAGTGACTGATCATATTTCAAAAACAACAAGCATAAAAAGGTTTCTCAGTTAATCTTTCTTGAAAAAATTGAGACAAATTGTTACAGAAATGGTTTTACCAAAGAGGATGTTGATTCTTTGAAGCCACAGTATATCCCCAAAAGGACTCATATCGATAATGCTTTGGTCCACATATGTTCAGAGCAACTGGTGTGTTTGCACCACCAACAATTTGACATTGATGTGGTTGTTATGGTAGAGGACTGAAGTTTGCAAAGGCCCTGGCCCTGCTTGTACTAGTAATTAGATATGAATTGTTCCTTCATTTTCCCTTGAATGCACATTGAATGAAAGTATTTTCAGTCCATACAGATCACAATCACAAAGGGAAAAGTACATTAAAGCCAGGGTAGGTCTTCAGTTTTGTTTCTCTGCAATGGTCATCATCTGGGATGTGAACTGGAATGTGAGGCCATCAACTCCTCCACACAGCCCAGTCACATTTTCCAGGCAGATGAGAGCAGGTCTTGTAATCAGGCTCTGGGATTCTACTTTACCGATGCTTTCCTCTCCACTTCCCCTCCCAACCCCCGTCCTTCCCTCCCTCTTATGTCAGACTAACTCCAAGCTGTCTGGCTGTCTGCACGAGACTTGTCTGTACACATTCATACATACATAGTGTGCTCCCACTTCAGTCAAAAGTAACACACGATAAGTAAAACCAGCTTCTAAACCATTTTCCTATAGAAACAGTGCACATATCTATAATTTATTCGTATCTGTAATCCAGAAACAGAGCTGTGTTGGTGGCAATCTAAGGAAGCTGGTGGGTGCGGAGTGTGTAAATCAGCCCATTCATAAAGCCGTAGCATAAGCCTACTCCTACAAATTAGTCCAATCCTAGGAATGGAGGATAATAACAGACGCATGGCGGATGGGAATGGAGTAACCACAATAGATTGGCATTACCGCCATGCCTGCAGTAAATTCTGGAGCGGGTTGAGGCTGAAGGCAGTTAGTCGGGTCAAAGCTAAACTGGATTCAGCAGCGTGGCAGGAGACAGCTACGCCAATGGGAATAAAACCAGAAAAGGAAACAAATGTGCCTTGAAAAGTAACACAACTAGCCATGTGGTGTTCATAGGGTTGTCACGGTAACCGGTGTAGCGGTAAACCGTGGTAAAAAGTTGACAATAATAATAACTGTCTTGTTTTTAAAAAAATTTATTATCTCGGTGGATTACCGTGGCTGCGGTGTAGGTGCGGTGACCCTTACCAGCCACCGTATCATCTGCTGAAGTTGTCGGCGGCACATGCGCACTTTGTTGTTTACAACCAAAACTTTCTTGAAGCTAAAACTGAAATAACGGCCAAAGGAGGAGACGGCAGCGCTCAGGACATTTATTATCCTTCAAAGAAGACAAAGTGGGAAGTACGGGCATTTTTTGGATATTTGAAGAATGCCGAGGG